ACCTGCACATGCCGGCACACCTTCATCATGAATATTGATGGATTGTAGCAGGAGCAGTGGTCATCGGCGTCGTCGCTGTTGTAGCACTTGTTCCGTCAGAGTTCTGGATGCCAAAGCTTTTTCCCGACAGGAGCGAATCTATGCAGCCAGGCGTGAGCAGGCTGCAGAGGGGTGGAAGTGTGCTGAGGTTCGTTTCGGGTTCGGTTCTCCTGTGCTCTTAAGCCCTGGATGGCATGCGATTGTATTTAAGCACCAGGGCCCACCAGGTCCCTGCCTTCCCGAAGACTGCCCTCCAGCCTAACTTGAGCGTAGCCTCCGACAAGTAGCATATCCCGTAGCGTAACACGTGCAGATACCTTGAAAAGAACCCCAAAAGGAATCCTTAAATGCAGAACCCTTATAGAACCCCTTGGGCAAATAGTACGCCTGATGGGAACCCCAAGCTTCCAGTGTTTTGGAATGTTCTGCCAGGACGCCGCCCTGCGGGCAGGTGGGTCTTTGCGAGGCCTGGCCAAAATCTATGCGAAGCTACACGTGCAGGTGGTGCTTCGCCATAGTTGTTTCGCTGAGCGCTATCAGAACTTTGTTTCTTTTAAGGATTTTTTGGTAAAGTCAAGCAGGCGTTTGCGTTACACTGCTGCACATGGCAAATCCAACCCCCTGGTTCGGACAGGGGCTTCGCCTTGCCATGACGACGGCGTGTTCTTTTTGAAGCAAGCGCGGCTCTCATTTGCAGGTACTACATGGCTTCATCGGATAGGAAGAATAGCAAGTTTCGTGACCGTACTTTCCCGTATACTTCGAGGGGACAGCGGGACAACGGTTCACTATGATCAGGCAGAAACACCGTAAGCTTCAAACACCAGACAGTCTAACCTCGTCAACCGCACCAGGGAACTGTGCCGGAGTTTCCGAGTGCTTGTTCACACTCGCTTCTGGGGTGGGGCCAACACTGTAAACAAAGCATTCAATGTGTTTAACCTAGACGCAGATGACATACTCGTAGGGATACAAGGGGATGTCGTGATGAATTCTTGCGGCTTTGCCCGGAACTTCCAGGTCATTGGCTTCGGCAACGCATGTGGCACAGTGGCCTGCCTGTGCTACGGCAGCATTGTGCCCATGGGGTAGAAGCAGTGGATATACATATGGATGGAAGTTGCTAGATTGGGACAAAGGGTGGTGGGGCCCCAGTCCGAGGCACGCGACGTCGAATTCCCGCGACTGGATGTCCCTGGCACAAGATGCGCCACTGGACCCGCTCAACTGTGTTGACAGCTGCACCAAGACAGATAAGACAGCCGATCCACAAGTCTTTAACCTTGAAAAAGAAACCCTAAACAAGCCTCGCCTGCATCAGAGTCGAAACAAGCAATGATTAGCATGGCCCCTGCGCAAAGATGACGCGCACACTGATCGAGAAGTGTACCAAAGAAAAACAAGCAAGCAAAGATGAAGCGCGCCCATAGTTCTGCAGGAACGCTTCGTTCAGCTGCAAGCATCTTCGACGCCCGAACAACGAGGCGGCCCTGATGCAGCGTTCACTGGCCGATGCAAGGCATACCACAGGTGCCGGAGTAATCAGAATGATTTCCTTGCGGTTCCATATATTCCTTCCAGAAACAAACCACAAGATACCCAAAACCCTATTCTAATTAGCAGGTGCCTATATTATGTGCAATCAGCCGCAGACTTTGCTACGTTTTGCCTGATGCAGGCGAGGCGCTGTTGAACGACGCGTCGCTGAGGCTTGTCAATCACCAGACAACGCTGCGTGACGAGTGTTGTCGTATGGGCTAGCGGCTAGCGACGGCTCGGTGAATCAGCATGCACTGAATCTATATCTTGATTGCACAGAGGCTGCGCTCTAGTAGTCGCGGCAAGCTGAAAGACTTGGGTGTGGGATGTGCTGCTGTCTGAACATGGTGAGTGTGTTTATGCTTAAACTATGCTGAACCAGACAGTCGCCGTGCTATTCACGTTGTGTTGGCGTCCCACGCCCATAAATTACAAATCTCGACTATTTCGACAAAGATTCCAAAGAGGCAGTCGTCCGAAACGGCCGCGACCTCCGAAGCGGCGAGACTTGGCAAATATAATGTTCCTGGACAGTGTAAGAACCTGTGAATGCCCGTGAGTTCAACGTGTTTCAGACATTATGAACTCAAACCTAGATGCTTCACTTCAGGCAGACACAATGTCCAGACCGTCATGGTCCCCCGTTGGATCACCATTTTGCTGCTTTCGCTCGCTCCAGGTGCATTTGCCCACTTTGAGGGTTTGGGAGCCTTGTCCGGCATGAACGGGATACTCGGGATATGGGAGTTTCCGAAAATAAGGGTACCTTATTTTGGGGTCCTTATAATCAGGATCCTACTATTTAGGGTACTATACTAGGACCCCCTATTTTCGGAAACCCCCATATTGTGCAAGGGCACTGGGCATAGCAAGCTGACGACGTGGCTCGCAGGCAAAATCGCATCATTGAGCTGGTGCTTTGGTCGCAAAACACGCTTCCCCCCGACGGGGAAAGTTCTTTCCGTGGATTCGCCATTAAGAATATGTCGAGACAATATGGGTTACGCTTTCATGCTTTTGTTTGTGACATGAGCGACGGCCGCTGAGCGTGATTCGTGGTATCGTGTCGTTAAATTTGCAGAGCGTCTTCCCTTATAGATGGGTATCATTTCGCAGCGACACCACTACAAGGACGGCACCAAGCGCGGGCCAGTAGACCATGGGCCTACCAGCGAGGCTCGGTGCTTTGGGGTGCTGTGTCGTCAGGCCCACTCAACTGTGAAATTCAGCCATCTGCCACAGAGTCTGAACCCTCACTGCCCAAGCCCGGCAGGTGGATCCCAAAAGGCTGTCTCGTGCTGTCTCTCTTTTCTTGCAGAGATGACTCATCCACCATTACCTACACTATAGGGCGTTGAAGAAAAGTTAAAATGCGCAGTGCCGAAGCTCCACCCCTTACTACATCTTGAACGCCTACTTTCTGCAATGGAATCCCCCTAAGCCCCAAACTCCAATCTGGGACAAGCCCTTACATAAACCTACCTCTGCGCTTGAAAAAGGACACAAAAGTGCGAAGCCTTAAAACGCCTAGAACACCCTCACCTCCCTGAAACCCAAAGCCGCAAAGCCCCAAACCCTAAAAGCTCTAAGACTCCAAAACCCTTAAACCCGAAGCACCCTAAAACCCTAAAACCCAAAGCATCCTAAAACCCTAAAACCCAAAGCATCCTAAAACCCTAAAGTTCCCTAAAACCCAAAGCATCCTAAAGCCCTAAGAACCTAAACGCACCCTAAAGCCCTAAGAACCTAAACACACCCTAAAGCCCTAAGAACCTAAACACACCCTAAAGCCCTAAGAACCTAAACACACCCTAAAGCCCTAAGAACCTAAACACACCCTAAAGCCTTAAGAGCCCTCGAACCCAAAAATCGCACCCCACAGCCTGGCAAGGCCAGCTTTCTGGAAGACGTGGCAGCGGCGGTGAAACGAAACTTCATGGACGTCGAGCCGGACCTCGGATGCGTAAGGGGGCCTTAATGATTTGAATAGGGTTTGGGGATCTAGTATACTATATAACTATATAAGTATAATAAGGAACCCCCAAAACCCTATCCTGATTATTAAGGCCCCTACACTGCATCAGGGTTGTTTGTTATAAATAAGGGGCTAGGGGTCATCATATTGCTTACTATGACCGTAAGGGTTCTATATCCTAGGGCTATAGAAGGATTCGATAATAGGCCTACGGCCACTAATAAGAGATACGTAAACACCATACCCTGCAGCCAAGACAGAGCTGCAGAAACCCGAAGCCCGAAGCAGGATTTGTTGGACTTCTCGCTGCTTGCGCTCGCTGCAACTACTGAGAGCTAAGGGGATGTTGTCGGCTTGGAAAGTGCAGAATTTTGAGTTGAGCCGATGGTTCTGCAATGTTCTGCGCATTTTCTGCATACATAGACATAGACATGTATGTATGCCTGCATGCTGCATGCATGCATGTATGTATGTGCGCATGTATGTATGCATGCATGCATGTATGTATGTATGCATGCATGTATATGTGTATGT